ACATGATTCTAATGCATTAATTCCCCCTCCCTCCCCCGGGAAATGTGTAAGTCAAACTGCCCTCCCCCTGGGGCTTAGAATAAAGTAGTTCATAATATAAATAGCATACAAGCAATTAAAAATTCAGGGTGTTAGCTAGCCCATATACTGTCCGTTTGACGGATTCTTCCCAATTGAAGTAGCTTTCCCAACGGATTCTTCCCAATTGAAGGGGCTTTCCCAACCGAGTCTACTGGAAGATTTTCATTTTTTCTGATGAGAAAGTGCATTGCATTTGATTTTATATTATTATATCAAAGAACGTTTTGTTTACTTTTTCCATTAACTACTCAAAATGTATCGCGTTTCATTCATATTGGGTGTGTATTCACTGAAATGAAATGCACAAAACAAAGTCCAATCGGTGTGCATCCGTGTTCATTCACCGGAAATGAAATAGAAAAAGCTAAACCACTGTTGTTTGCATCTAAGAAGAAACACGTTGGAAGAAACACGTTGGAAAAAACACTATTTATTCCTGCACAAGGACTTTGATCGGTCAAAAAAAGTTTTCCCAATTTACGTTTAACGGACAAAACCTTTTTTTCTGGCTAACACCCTGAAATTATCATACAAACTGGGGTATCACAATGGCACTCATGTATTCTGTATTTATTTATTCAAATTTTAGCAAGACCACTACAAAATATCATAGATTATAAGTTGGCGATCGATATTTTTCTCCGTGAGCCTGCGATGTTGAGTACGCACCAATTGTTCACTTCATTTATAAAATTCAAATTGTCACGCCAAAGTTCCCTACTTCCCCTCCCCCCGTCGTCCTATTATTGCGAAGTTTGTAATTTCCCCGGGGTTCACGGGGCAGAATACACGGATAAAATACCAAATTCCCCCTCGTTTCCCCCCGGTTGTCCCGGGGGTGTACCCCCCGGGCAGGCCGTTGATATGTGCATAAATAAAGCTATAAGTAAAACCAAAAGCCCGGAACGTAATAAATATTTTCTATACATGACTTGGCGCACCACATTTGAAATATTAACAGTTATTTTAGTGGTTCATTAAGTCTTATTCAACCAAGAAGTGAAATAAAACAAGTCGTTTAAAAAAGGGTGCAAGTATCGAACGATACCAAGTCAGTAATCGATACCGATACCGCTGTTTGTGGTATCGCTGGTATCGAATACCAAGTACTCGGTATCGCCCATCACTACCCTCAAGTGCGCGGTCAACAAAACCTTTATATTTTTCTTTATTTTCCGAGCAAAAATTTGGTGAAAAACATACGAAATTTGAATGAAAAGTTGAATTCTGGTGTTTTGTTTGGGTTCAGTTCTAAATTTTAATTATTATTTATTTAAAAGATGCGATATTTGAGTGGAAAGAAAGCAAAATAGCGCGGGATTGCTGTTTTTGTAAATGACAAAGAGTGACAAAACAAAACACAAATGTCACTCTATTCTTTCAAAATATCTCTATTCCCCTATCGACAAGGGTTTCACACACATAAATAACTCATTAAAATGAACAGTTTAAGTTTAAAAGGCAATCATCAAAGTGATTTTATTAAATAAAAAATAAAAAAACAAAATTTCCTTACATGTATGGAATTAAATTGGCTAAAAAACTGCGTCGAAAACTGCAGTTAAAAAGCAGTTTCAAGTCAGGAAAACGGACTAAAATAAGCCAAATAATGGTGTGAAAACTGAAAAGCACCATAGAAACAAAAAAAACAACAACCGAAGCAAAAATAAATTCCCAAGTTATAAAAATACAGATTTTATATCAAAAAAACAAAAAAGTTTGAAACTAGTTGTTGAATTCGCAACGAAAAATACAGATTTACTCACACGTACAGTGGGAAAATGCAGTAGACAGATCGATTAGATGGAGGAAATCAGGTTTACATGAAATAAATAAAGTTTATTTCCTTTTTTGCTCTTCTAAAATGAAGAAAAACACAACCCGAGAGTCGCGGACCCATCACATCCCGCCATGAAAATACAAAAATTGTTTGGCCGCGCGAGTAAGGGGACTGAGAATGACGCGCAAGAATGGCTTCAAAATCCGCCATCTTTGGCTTCACTTTTTGATTACGTCAATGACTGAAGTCAGCCTTCCATGTTATATAGTTCAGTCACAGAATAGGAAGTTATAGCAGAAGCGTAACTCTAGTCGTTTCCCTTATTGTTTGACGTCCACGAAAATTTTAACTCGCTCACGCCAATCCACGCCATCCTGGCTAGTACAGCCGGAAGTTTTAATCAGGTTTTGGTAGGTACAAAGTGCCGGTTGTACTAGCCAGGATGGCGTGATTGATGACGGATCGCTTGTAAAAACGCGGACAAATACTTGCTTGAGTTACGCTTCTGCTATACCTTCCTATTCTGTGGTTCAGTGCCCATTGTTCCCCGGGGAACATGGGGTGGAACATTATTCGTGTAAACCATGCGAGATAACACGCATGACGACAACATGGCCGACAAAATATAAATAGTATTGATGAGTGATGAATAATCTGGGTAAATGATGTAAAACCTGGGGCTTTTTCAAAATTTTGAAGTAAATTTTGAAAAATGTTGTCATTAATATTCCAAACGATATGCCATTCGAAAGAAAAGCGACAATACTTGCGTTAATCCAAAAATAAAACATCGTATTCACGAAGGTATGTGTCAAGTTTTTATTTCTCAACTTGGAGGCTTTTAATTTTCGGTATAATATATTTCATTTAATTTTCGGTATAATATATCATTCATCGGGGATTCGGCGAAATATTACCCTCAGTGATGATATTTCCCTCGGAGCAAAGCCCCTCGGGAAATATCATCACTTCGGGTAATATTTCGCCGAATCCCCCTCGCTCCAGGTCTATAAATGATAAATGTTGCATTGCATTACGAAAACCCAAAAATATTTTCCGGACATAATCTTTCGGGTTGTGAAAACATCACTCGTTTAGTTTTTCTTTAATCTTTCCGTGAATTTTCCAACATTTTAGCTATATTAGTTTTAAATCAGTTTCGTTCATATATTTTAATGTTTTCCTTCCTATCCAATTCTGGTTTTGCCGACTTGGAAAACAATTTGCCGACTCGGACACAATATTTTACTCCCTGCCCCCGACACCCCCTTCCTTCTAGCACCACCCCTGCAAGTTGTAGCTGAGAGTTAAACGAAACTATGAAGGACGCTGCTTTCGAAGCGCGCCTCTGGCAGCCATTTTAAGACTTGTCTGATTACGGAGAACAGCTACGGTGGAAGGGTCAGTTAGGGGCTGACCAGTGGCGTAATGCTCATTGGGTAGGGTTAGTTCAAAAACTAAGGGCCCCCGACAGTTAGAGGGGGGCCCATCAGTCACGGCTTATCGCCCAGGAAATTAGAAAACGTAAAAAATGCAAGTTAAGAATCAATAGGAAAATGCAAAATTAATAATGCTAAATAATAAGCCTCCATCGACAACGGTAGCTGATTTTTTTTTATTCCATCTCAAATAAAACAAAAATTATTCTTATTACTTGTTTGTTGTTACATGTGTTGGAGATATTGTTATTGTTGTTGTTATAAACACGGAATTTTCCAGAACATTCTATCAAATTATATCCAAGATAAATATAATATCCTAGTCAAACAATGACAACAGTCAACGGGAGCCCCCACACCAAATATGCCTAAAGGCCCCCTCTTCCTACGTTACGCCACTGGGGCTAATTACCCAAACCCAATTTTCAATATTTCTTGTAACCGGAAAACCCCACAACTTCCGATAGAGCGTTGATTGACTCTTTCGACATTTGTGTCATGAGTCCGCAGTGTCTATCGAACCCACCCGCCACCGAAATCCCATCGCAGTGGTTCCTTCAATGCAAAATTCCGATAAATAACAAAACTTTATTTGGACATATTCCGCTTGCCAGAAAACCAGCACATTCGTTACCGCGTTTACCAGCATTCACGAATAGCCTTGGGAACGTATATGGTGTGATGCCAAAACCTTTCGTTTTGGTCCAAAATTAGGATTTTACATTAAAGGATTGAGTTCAACCTTTGTGACCTTGCAACCTATAGTGTAATCCTTGTGTATCTAACGAGATTCGAAAATTTATGAAAACTAGGGACCTTGGAAAAAGAAAGCTAAAAGGTCAAAAGATCCGTTACATTGGGCCACTTACAAGAAAAGAATATGTTGCAAGAATATGTTGCGGATGAAATCATAAAGAATATAAACATCATCAATAATTATCGGTGGAACGCAAAGACAACAAATATACATCGCATTGCGTTGCGTTGTGTTACATTCCTTGCATTGTGTTGTGTTGCGTTGCGTTGCGCTGCGTTGCACTGTACTTTTGATGACAAAGACATTGGAAAATTTCTTCGACAGTGTAAACGTGTTCTGCTAACCTAAACCTCTTATTATGCTAAAAACCGATCCAAAATTAAATTAAGCATCTACAGTAATTATTATATAATTGTATAAAATTTTAAATTAGATAGAGAATAACAATACCTTGCGTGGTTTTGTTGTGTTTAGTGTTACCCAATAGTAACCATCTTCAAGATCTGGCAAGTTATCCACAATATCTGAACAATAATTTACTGGGTCAAATCTTTCACCAAGTGTACAGGATCCTATTGAAAAATCACCAATGAAAGAACGATGTGTTAACAATATAATATAGATCATTTGTACAATCACTGAAGCGTGGCATTGTTCTACAAAATACTATACAATGCTACACGCTACACGTTCGTCATATTTAGCGATTTTTCTTCCTCTCTTGCGGGCTCGTACTATCAGTGGATGTCTTACACAAAACTGCCAGCTCCGTGTAAAGTGCAAAGCTTTCAATTTTTTACCACAAGTTCACTGCATGCATGGAAGTCTGGAAATTCGAGCCTGCTGTACGGGGAGAAAATCCGCTTAGTATGACCAGCGTGGTTACGATCCAATAACATATACATAGAGTAAGCATATGAAACAATTCATTTCAAGATCTTACCGTCAACGGATTTCCAACGATATTTAACGCCTTCTTTTAAACAAACAACTTGCATGTCATTCCCCTTCCTATTGCTGTACAACACTTGAACTCCACGGGATGTCTTGTTGCATTGCTGAAGCTGTAGATACAAAAATTGTGCTTGAGGAAGCAAGAGATCTTGAAGGGGTCTAATGGAATTCCAAACTTCACAACAGTAGTCGAAATGGGGTTGGACAAGACCATAATAGACCGACTTCAAAGTATCAGAATTAGTGAAATCCTTTATCTTTTTCATGGCACTTATTCCAGAAGATATTTTTTTAGAAATTTGTTCAATATGACTGTCCCAAGTTAAAAATTGATCAATTTTGACTCCAAGAGTTTTTGTAACTTGAACCCCTTTAATTGGTTCATCTCCAATAAAAACACGCGGTTGTTCTTCTAACGTGTTAATATTGTGGCGTGATCCAATCAAAAGATATTCCGTTTTGACAAGGTTAAGAGAGAGCCTGTTCGATAGAAGCCATTCTCTGATATTATTGAGATCGACATTAACGGCCACCTCCGCTTCCTTAATTGATTTACCGGACACTGTAATGTTAGTATCGTCGGCGAACATGCGTGCTGTAGAGTGTTGTAAACAATTCGGCAAATCATTGATATAAATTAAAAACAGAAGTGGACCCAAAATTGAACCCTGAGGAACGCCATATTTTAGATATTTTAGTGTGGAAAGTTCCCCATTTACTTGACATTTCTGAGATCGATCTGATAAGTACGATTTGAGAAGCATAAGAGGCGTGTTCTTAATACCATATAACTCTAGTTTAGCCAGTAAAATGTCGTGGTTTACCGTGTCAAATGCTTTTTCTAAATCGAGAAAAACGGCAAGATTATACAAACCACGATCCATATTAACATACCACTCATCAGTACAATCAAGCAAAGCAGTGGACGTGGAATGAAAGCGCCTGAACCCAAACTGCTGTTCAGACAATAAATTATTGGTAGTAAAATATTCGTATAACTGCTCATACAAGATCTTTTCAAATATTTTGCTGATGACCGGCAAAATTGATATTGGCCTATAATTGTCTAAAACGGAGCGTGAACCCTTCTTATGAAGCGGTATAACTCTAGCACTTTTCCATTCAGAGGGGAAAATTCCCATCCCAATAGCAGAGTTAAACAATTTGGTCAAAGATGGTGTAATTACAGATGCAGATTTTTTTAGAATTTTAGCCGGTATTTTGTCACATCCAGTAGATTTAGAAATAGACAAATTGTTAAGTAGCCTAAAAACCTGTGATTCGTTAACAGGATGCAAAGTAAATTCCAAACTAGTATTTAAATTATCACTCATATGCCTGCCAAAATTTAATTTCTGAGTGTGTTCAGAGCAGGAGTCTCCAATTTTACCACCAATACTTGTAAAATAGTCATTAAGACAATTAGCCATTCTCATAGGAGAAGTAATTGTATCATTTCCTAGCTTTAATTCGTTAATCATTGTGTCCTTCTTTTTTCTCCCAAGGATATCATTAATCGTCCTCCAAGCCTGTTTAGGGTTGTTTTGATGTTTGCCAAATTTGCTTTTGTAGTAAACTTTCTTAGCTTCACGCATTGCAATGTTGACATTATTCCTATACTGTTTATACTGGCTCCAATCTTCAGTTAAATCCGACAAAATTGCTTTTCTTTTCAAACGGTCCCTTTCCAACATTTTGTTTCTGATATTCCTAGAAATCCATGCCACAGATGTTTTATTTCGTACCCGTCTTTCCCCAACCGGGGCATGTTTATCAAGAACAGTTATGAAAAGATTTTTCCAACATGCCCATTTATTATCAATATCAGATTCTCTGTCAACTAAATGCCACGGTAATTTTATAAGGTCGACTTTGAAATTCTCAACATTGAAATGCTTGAAGCTTCGAAATTCGACTTTTTTGCTAGCGTGAGGTTTAAGATATGAATTAATTAATTTTTTCTTACTACATAAATTAAACTATGATCACTCACTCCCATATGAATTACATCATGAAATGCAATTCGCTCAGGACAGGAGGTAATACAAACGTCTAGTAACGTAGAAGACGATTCCGTAATCCTTGTAGGCTTATCGATTACTTGTGTAAGTTGATAAAGTTGCATGATAGAATGTAAGTGTTTAGCAGAAGAGTTGGACTGGTCTAACAGATTACAGTTTAGATCTCCTAATAAGTAAATTTCCTTATTCTCGTTATCGACATTCTTAAGCAAAGATTCAATTTGTGAGAAAGATTCGACGGTTGCTGACGGCGGACGATAAATAGTAGAAACGATAAAGGAACGAGAGTTGGGCCGGTTAATTTCCAAACATACTGACTCTAAATTTTCCGGCACTAAATCACCACGATTTAAATATGATATCGTCCGCCTAATGTAAAAACAGACACCGCCACCGTGTTTGTCCCTATCCATGCGAACTATATCATATCCGTCAATATTAACAAATTCACTTGGAATATCAGGGTGAAGTCTTGTTTCATTGAGTGCCAGAATATCAAAAGTCTGATTTTCTAACAATAAGCGAATTTCATCAATGTGTTTCGACAAACTGACAATATTTAGTAATGCCATCTTGAAACCCCTAAGATATGGTAACCTATTCGTATACAACATTTCCTCCGAGTTAGTCTGACGGATGTCGCGTCAATTTAAAAAATCCATATAGTTTCTTTGCATTATCGTGCTACCTCTGCGGTTCAAGTGCAGACCCCCACGATTTAAACAATCTAAATCTATGTTAGTATGATTAATAAAGTCAACATTATTATCTGAGCAGAATGAATTAAGTAAATTGTTTGTTTGATTAACTTTTGTTTGAATTAGATGACCATCTTTTCTGATGGTAAGAGCCGAGATGGCTACTTTGATATGTGCAGATTTTTCTCGCACTTGACTAACTAATTTCACAATACCTTCTACCAACTGGTCGGGAGATTTCTCTGACTTAATGTCGTTTGTACCAACGTGGAGAATTATTTGATGTGGGTTGCGACGAAGCAATGGTTTCAAATAGTCTTGCATATCATTGACTTTGCTTCCTGAGAAAGATTTTACGGCAACAGTTCTGTCGGTATTTGACATCTCCCAGCCATGCGCATTCTGAACAATAGAGTCCCCGGCAATAAAGACTAATTTCTTTTTGCCATCTTTTGCATTGTGCTGATCACTTGATCCATTAGCATGCCGCTTTTGTTTATGCTTAGTTGACTTGTTGGCAGGTCTGCTATTTGAGGCCTCATTGTCTGCGATCGATCGTTGGGATTCTCGTTGCGAAGTAGCTATAGAGCTGGGGTCATCGACTTTGCTTCTATCGTCGTCATAATCATAAATGTTGGTTTCATTGCCGCCCGTATCACTCAGGACATCAAACGCGTTTCTCGTAACAACTTCACTATCTTGACTACGAGTAGACAAATGCTGATCTTTATTCATGCTTCTGCACTGCGTTTTCCAGGTCCCATGAGAATTTTGATCGTGGGTACTTTGGTCTAGATTCACCAACTTAAGAACTGTGACTAAAGACTGTTTTTCATTTTCAGATTCTTTAAGTTTGGTGTTTAAATCGGATACTATGAAGGACAAGTTAGCGACCTTTTGCAGCAGAGATTTGTTTTCATCCTTTAATGCTCGATTTTCGTGGAGGAGCGACTCGTTAGCATACGCCTTCCGTTTATTTTGTATACTAGATACTTCTTGCGTTAACGCACTGATTTTGACGTTAAAGTCCAGTTCCAAGTCCTTTATTTTCTCTACAAGTTCACTGCAGATTAAAATTTGATTTGGTTGCGTTGATAAGTCAATTACTTGAGAGCCTTCGAAGTCTTCGCCTTCAATAATGATTGACCTTTCGACTTCATTATGTATGCCAATGTCGAGGTTGTTTTTGTCGATCAACGATATACCATCATCTTCATCAGACTCTGTCCTAGCAATTGCTCGCAATTTGTCCTTCAGCTGTTCACAATCAATTCCTTTATATAGTAAGCGAGGACGTATTCGCATACCATCTAATTTTGACCGCTTCGTTCTCGAAAAGCCTTGAGTTGCCTCCTGGCGACGACCACTTTGTCTGGGTTTGTAGTTGCTCGTTGATAAATTCTTGAAGATCCTCAAATTTACCATGCCACTTAAAATTACCCTTCGTTGAGATCGAAAGAGATTGAATTGCAACGCTTTCAGTCGCCATTAATGGTTATAACTATAATGCACATAAAATTTTATACGAAGCACAAAACACACGTCCGCTCTCGACTCGTATGTTACTCGTTGAATTGATCTGCATCTCAAAATGCTGCAAAAGCTGCGGGAACACATCAGTGTTGATTATTTGCAAATAATTTAGACCGTTTACACTTCTTTCGAAAAAGAACGGACCAATTACTTGTCCACTTCCACACAAACCAAGCCAAACTGTCCATTTCTGCCGGCTGCAACTCACATCGTAGTTGAAAGCTGGAGGGTTTCCAGCTGGAGCATATGCACGGACGTTTCTCGAGTTAACTTGGCCGTTCATGCAGAATGTAGCTTTATCGCCAACAACAAAATTACGAAGGAAATTTTCGTTTCTTCTGCATCGCTCTGTTAACCACCTTGCGAAATTTAGCCGTCTTTGAAAATCGCGTGGTAACAATTCATGCCGTACGTGCAGTAAATTCTGATTTGGAAAACCTCAGAAAATGGTTAATTGCCAATAAACTTAGTCTAAATGTAGCTAAGACAGAATTTATGTTAATTGGTTCAAACGCAATGATTAAAAAAAATTCTGATTCACATTTAAATGTTTTCATTGAAAATAAGCAAATTAAACAAGTTAGCGAATGCAAAACTCTTGGAGTAATAGTTGACCAGCATTTGTCTTGGAAAAGTAATTCCGAAAATAAATGCAAAAAAATAACTGCAGGAATCTCTGCTATTCGCCGAGTCAAACCTTTCGTTGACAAAAATACACTCATTTCGATATATAATGCTATTGTCCGCCCATACTTTGATTACTGTTGTGAAGTATGGGATGTGTTTGGTGAATCACAATCAAAACGACTCCAAAAACTTCAAAATAGAGCTGCTAGAATTATCTTGAACATGAGTAATGACGTAAATCATTCCATTGCTCTACGTGCATTGGGCTGGGAGCCACTCAAAAACTGAAAGGAAGAAAGCTAAGGCAAAAATGATGTACAAAGTATTAAATAAAATGGGTCCTAAATCACTCACCAATCTTTTTTCATACAAATGTGAGAAAACAAACTACAACCTTCGTGACATTTCAAGTGGTCTTAGTTTACCAAAACCGCGTACTAACAACATGAAAAATAGTTTCATGTATGACGGAGCACACCTTTGGAATTCTATTCCAAAGGAAATTAGGGAAAGCAAAACTCTTTCATCCTTTAGAAATAAAATTGCTGCTCACAAAATTGACATAGAGTAAATTGATGTAACTGTAAATATTCTAATAACCTTCTTATCATGTAAATAATTTAATATTCTACCTTTTTAAACTTAAGTATTTTAATATCTCCATGTAACATTTTTCTATTTTTGCACACGCCCCCCGTGGAAATCAGCTTCGGTTGACGGGGTCAGCGTGTATAAATAAAGTTTCTATCTATCTATCATGCGGTATGGGTGTTGCCGCAAATCTAATTGGGTAATCCTGTTAAAAGTGGCGGATGGTATTCCAACTCCGTTACGTCTAGCACTTGTACCAGTTGGGTGCTCTGCAAGCCGATTTCTGACCAACTCAATATTTTCTGCAGATCTTCCAGTCCTTCGTCTGCCAGAGGTTCTGCCGAATGTTAATGATGAATGTTGCGAGTTAACGATGTCGTGAGATGACGCTTTGCAGAATATTTTTCAAATCGGCCCGACTTAATCGTTGTGCCGTGTAAACGTACCTTTAATTGATCCCTTTAGCAGGATATTGAATTGAAATTGCTCAAATTGTCATACTTTGAAAATGCAATAAATTCCGGTATTCTGGTAATTTTGAAGCAATCCGTTCAAGCGGTAAAAAAAGCTGACCGTGCCTTTGAGCAATTTAATCTACTTCGCGTGCATGAAGTGATATTAAATTTGAAAACTGCATGTATATATGCCGTGACGCATTGATTTACATACTCTGCGCTCCTGAATGAAGTTTCATGCCGCTAGGCTGCAAAAGTAAAAACGTGCAGCGTGTAGAAAATTTGAAAGAAATTTTCAGCACGAGTTTTTTAAACAGACTGACTTGCACATTATTACGGTTCGCTTACACGCTTTACCAAATGTACAAATTCCTGTACTACTGTTGCGCTATGGAATACACACCAGTTTTATTTTATTTTAATTTCATATTTCCTTTCAGCAGAAGTTCTTGAAACCATACGTAATCTCTCTCTACAGGCAATTCATACCTTTTGTGGGTCAACCAGATAAACATAATCATAAGAAGGGTTTCTCCCCAATACTTTCTCAGATGTACTGTAGATCACGTCATGTAACATTTCACAATTTGGTTTATTCTGAAAGATCTTTTTGTAGTTGATTGACCTACAACATGGCTCCTTGACACATTCCATAATACATTCTATCCGTTTGGAAACGCTTTTATTCAGCCAAACGGTTGTATTAAGTCTGAAACCTGGCGAACATAACCAAATTGGTATATATATATATATAAGTAAATTGCGTAGGTTATATAGGTACGTCTATAGTATTCAACAAAAAGCTGACCGTCACAAGTTATTATGAAAACGTCGAAGTTTTAATCGACAGCCTTCGCATGGAAGTTCGTAGTCAAGTTACCTACCTTCAAGAGTTGAATTAAAACAAAAATTCAAACTTTCACTTGCTTGGCCTTGTGCAATTACCAAAACTATCCGCGGAATGATTATGTAGAAGATAATATAATATTTCAGGTACATTGCAGTTGATCGTCCAATCGGCATGAGCTATACAATAATAATCAGTAACATATTATCGTTGTAATACAACGTACAATCTGCCGGTATTCCCTTAAACTCTTTTGTAGAAAATAATATTTCATGCTTCGTTTTCGTTGGTAGGTATGTCAATCGACAAATTCGTGATAGCGGGTTGAGATATCATGTTCCACACAACGCTTCCCAAGGGACATGACATGGTAAAATGTTTTCCACACCAATGAACACGCTACAGTAATATTTATGAGACGGCGATGAGACTTAAAATTATGTTACTAAAAGAAGGAAGGTATTATATCAATGCTTGAACTTCTGCAATTAACGAGGAATTGCACGAATATTAATCTGATATTTTTTTTAAAAATTGTGCTACTTTAGCTTTCTATCCTAATATAGAGAAACGCATTTAACTGTCATCACTGACCAGAGAGGTTTTGTCACTTTTCTGAATTTGTGCGAAGTCTAAAGATAATCAATGAGCGCGGACTTCGGTCACCAACAGTTAACTCTACGAGAACTGCAATGATAACTTGGCCGCCATCTTTGAAGCTACTCTTGATGGCCGCCATGTAGGTATGGAGTGGAAAATACGCCGCCTAAAAGATGTCTGTTTTCGACCACTAAATAGCTGTATTTCAACAAGGAAAAAAGCTAAAAACTTTCAACAATACCTGAAATTTAATACAAAACATGTTTCCAGAACGTAGAGCAGTTATAAAGTTCTTTTTTCAGGAGTCAAAGTGCGAAGTTTTTTTCGGCACGTTCAAACTTGTGTAATATTTTGAATAGAAAACTGTTACCCAGGAAGTTTTTGCTGTTAGTGGATGTAAAATACTTAGAACTATCCAGGAAACCAGGTTTGAATCTTTAAAGTTGAAGACTTTCGATAAAAAGTGCTTTTTCTTGCTGATTTTCGCTCAAAAACAAATCTTTGACTGAATTTCCCGCTCCTCGAAACTCTCCCCAGTCCTTTTGAAAGTTAATTTATTGCTCGTTGAGCTTGCAAGGAGCGCCATCTTGGCTTCGGGCAAGTATGGGCATGTTTACCTGCAGTTAGCGTTCCAGTGTTATTACAGTTCACTGGTCACCAACGATGGGTGGTCATCCTCACTGATCTCAAAAATATGACGGACTGTCATGAATAACGGACAATGATTGGTCCAATTTAAAGTTTGCATTATAACGACTGCATGACGACAGCGAAATAGCAAACATTTCTTGATTTGATGAGTTGATGATTGATAAATTTCTTGCAAATATTCTTCATTTTTGCTCGTATTTCTGCAAGATTTTGTAAATTTCAAGAAAGAAAGGGCGAAAGAATCAGCTAAAAGAAGGGAGCCGACGTTAACGAAGGCAAGTTTGTTTTAAATATTGATTTTATAATGGCTTTTAAACCCGACGACCTTTGCGTATATGAAAAAACTAAACAAGACAGCATATAATTTCAGTGTATCTTTAATATTGATTCCCTTTTTTATTATATTGAATTTTTTAAATAAAAAATAAAGCAAAGTTATTTGCAAGCGAGAATTTGAAATCATTTTATTGCAAACGCAAAGTTTATTGATAAAGCCATTTAATAGTTAAAGGCAGGTTAGTTTTATAAAGAACACTTTAAGACGTTTTGTGAATTGTTTGTGGTTGAATTTTGCCTTAAATTGAAGCTTGTATTACGTATAATTACATACCTAACATATATATGTTGGGAAATTGATAATTTTGTAATTAAAAGTGATATTTTTAGGCGATTTTCATTTGTAAGAATATTCTTAAAAAATTATCGTGTTACCATAACAACTACTTTAGATACTTCATGTTCGGAAAATACAACGGTTTTGTCAGCAAGGCGAGGGTTTCTGCATGCATGCACGTATTTTCTATTATAATATAAGTGTGATATAACAGACGATTTGATTGGTTAATGCGCGTGCATTGTGACGCAATAATGCACTGTGATAGTGTGATCTGTGGCACTGCTTTGCTCTTTCTCTGTTTTTCCCGTCTTCATCACTGCTTTTAACCAAAATTATACACAAAATTATAGAGCTTTTAAAATACAAAATTTACCAGAAAGCAAGAAAGAATAAACCAAAGGAACAAAGCAATTTTCTATAGTTCTACTTATAAAATTAACCGGTTTGGCATTCGCCAAATTTGTTGTTGTCTCGACAAGTTTTGAGTATAAAAAAGCGTACAAAATAGTCGAGAAAAAAACTTGAAAAAGGTACAGCTGAAAGACCAAATACATAAAAAGGCAACAAAAACTGAATATAAGTGATTTAGAAAGGACCTTCAATTCTTTTGGTAATAACTGCTAGATATATTTTCAGCGAAAGACAAAAAATACAATAATTTTGAAAATTAAAACTGAGTAATAAACACGACGAAACTTACGATTTACCGTCTTTCATGGCAAATCCAGCAGCCCAGATGCTGGAAAACTTTAGCAAATTAGTCTGTGTGTCACTGCTTTTTTATTTCCACTATTTTAAACAATTTTTCGGCTTTATAGCATCAAAAGTGTGTATATTGTTTTGGCAATTTTTCTCTTTCGCTCGCTTAAAAATTCAAGCGACAGTAAAAACATGCGCGTGACGTCACTGAGTACATGTTAGGAGAATTTCAACGTCGATCTTTTGAGTAATATTGTTTACTACGCCTCGTGTTTTACACGCTTCTCTCGTATTCTCCCAACATTCCCCGCGTGCATTATCACACGATAAACGCACGCGACTCGTTTTCTATTTCTTAAGTAATGACTATAAATGTATCAGGAATAGTGAGCAGGACAATTCGGATCCGCTGCGTTGTACTTGACATTGTCTGGACCGTTAACCGACGTCATGCATCCAGGCCCGATGAAAAACATTATATGTCTAGCTCAGTTGAAAAACTTCAGACGAGCAGAAGCCTTAGCTTGTGCTGTTAATACATTACATACATGCTGATAATACATTTTTGTGTACATAAGGTAAGTTCGATATGTTGCTAAACATTTAAGTGTGAAAATGTTTTAAATGGAGTTATACGTTGACTATAGTGAATAATTATCTCTTTATCTCTGCCGCGCCGTTCAATTTGCCTCCTACTTGAATGAGCATGCATTACAACCAAACGTTTAATATCAGTGCATGTTTAGTAAATTAAGCAAAGTTTTCGCGAAAGCCGAAAAGTCAAACAGTCGTGAAACTACGGAAAGAATGGCGAAGCATGTTCTCAAATAAGCATTTTCCATTTATTTTGGACAAAATTATTCTAATTTTAATTCTAAGCTGCAATTTTAATCTATTTGACCTGTATAGCAGCGATTTTTATATTTTTGTCGGTTTTACGGCATCAACATATGTATGTCTTTGCTAGGCCGAAGGTATGGCCACAAATGTTCTTTCTTTAAATTTTAAATTATTTTAAAAATTAAATGTTAAGACATTTGCTTCATGCTTATATTAAAAACTGAAACAAAAAACTAATGTTGATCATCTTGTCAACGTTTAAACAAAATGTTGTTAACATGCATTGAATGGTTGTGCAGTTCAATCAGGATGCCATATTAACTGATAATTGGAACTGCTGTAAGATATATGAGTATTACTAGTATATACTGATTTGCAGGAAAACAGAAAGGTCGAGCAATTCAGTTGGGTGTTATATAATGTGTGTGTAAAATTTGCTTGAAACTGCCGAGAGACACCTGTCTGTGAAATAAGGAGCTCAAAATTAATATCTTTAATTCCCAGTTTTACACCAGATAATTCTATTAAGAGAATTTAAACCGAACAGAAATTCGAGAAGGAAGTGAAAAGAAACTTACCAAAATCTTTACTAATCCTTTAGTTTTCTTCAACAGTTCGCAGTGACGAAGCAGCAGATGTGAGAACAGTAAAATTTTTATTAGCTATAATAAGTATACTCACTGCTAATAATGAATTATTCATGCCTATATCGATGCATCGGCTACTTGAAAGTAATTTTAAGTTTTCAATACACTATTGTGCTTTACATAGAATATATTATTTCGTTGACTTCACTTGTTTTAAATGTATTGTAAAGAATGTATTGTTGGTGTCGCTGCTGCAGTAGTTCCGACTGCTTCTGATTCCAAACATATTTGATATGATAAATTGTACATTTGAGTTGCAAATGTCCATTCGTGGAGAGAAAGAAGAATTCTATAAATTCAAGGTAAAACAATAAGACAGATTTTCTCTGCGAGTTTGGACAATTTCATAGATGTCGTGCGCTATGTTTTCTTTCTTTCTTTTTTCTTTCTTCCCAACAAGGGAACGAACAATTCTTAATCCTCTCAACCTTTAGTTTAGTTTGATAGTTTATTTGATAGTTTATTTGACACTAAACATACAGCTCCAGAATATAACTAATTCCACTGCTGAAATATGTTAGGTTTACAAAGATTTTAAGAAAAATAAACTAAACTAATTTTTACAAGTATTTTGTTTAAGAAAATGAATAAGATTAGACTATAATATAATTGTTTTTGTTGCAACTCAAATGTACAATTTATCATATCAAATAAATTTGGAATCAGAAGCAGTCGGAGCTGCTGCAGCAGCGACACCAACAATACATTATTTACAATACATTTAAAGCAAGTGAAGTCAACGAAATAATATATTCTATGTAAAGCACAATAGTGTATTGAAAACTTAAAATTACTTTCAAGTAGCCGATGCATCGATATAGGCATAAATAATTAATTATTAGCAGTGAGTATACTTATTATAGCTAATAAAAATTTTACTGTTCTCACATCTGCTGCTTCGTCACTGCAAACGGTTGAAGAAAACTAAAGGTTTAGTAAAGATTTTGGTACCGCCATGCAAACATTCAAAGAACTTTTTAGACTATAATAATAATTAAAAATACACATTCACATATACATATGCGCAGACTTATAATTTGTTACTAAAACACTCCCTAATGCTATAATTTAAATTAGGTTAAAAAACCAACATATGCATGGTAAAAACAGTTTCTAAAAGTTATACAGAAAACTTATTAGAGTTATAAGTGATAAAGCTGTTTCTAAATCTGTTCGTTTTATGAAGTGGCACGTTAAATTTCCTATTTTTACGCAAAAAGTGGCTATTGTCGTTATTTAATGGTGGCAACAAATCCGTTAATTTGTACTCAGGATTATTGACTATGTCCTTAAAAAGTTTTGTTGTTAATTCCTGTCTTCTATCGTACAGTGATGGGGTGTTCGTGTTCCTCAATACTTCTTTGTAGTGTTGATCTGGGAATATTATTCGAAAAGCTCGTTTCTGAAGTCTTTCAAGATCATCAGACAGATACTTTGGTAATGATTCGTGAAATGCTTGGCACGCATACTCGCTGACTTGTCGAATACAGGTGGAGTAGAAAAGGATTAGGTCGTTAGCTGGTAATTCCGCTCGTTTTAGTTGTCTTATAAAATATAGACGAGGTGCGACCTTTTTACAAACGTGTGAAATATACGCGTGGGGTTCACCTGATGTACAAACGACAGCGATTCAAAAATATCAAGTAAGCTCAAATAAATTAAAATTACCTGAATAAATTAAAATATTAGATATTCGATGACGTCATGGGCGGTGCTTCGTGCACCGCCTGCACCGCCCGCGCCAGAACCCCCCTTCCCTATACTACTCAAACTCGCTTTGAATGTTTAATGTTTATGAATTTTGTTGCTTTAATTTATCGAGTGAAACATGCACTGCTTTCTTTTTCATTGAAGCTGTACGTTTGCTAAATTACCCTGTTTAATTTAAGAAAAAAAGTAAAATGTAAAGGAGAGCAAATTAATTTGACAACAGAACTGAAATTTTTCAACAATTTGAACTTATATTGATTTTTTTTCCGAAATTCAGAAAACCCGAAAAAGCAGTTTATAATTTATAAAATAAACATTTCAAAACATTTTACGAAGCGATTCATGTTAAATTTTACATTAAATCAAAGCTCACAAAATGCAGAACAACATCCCTACAGTACATATTTCGGAGATTCATTGTTATATCGTTAATTTTTGGCGTTTTCGTCGTGTTGCAAAAAAATAATAAAAGTTAAAATTATCGTGTTGCCATGGCAACACTGACGTAAACGCGAGCCTGCGTTCAGTGTTGATCAATTACAAATACTTCATGTTAAATCTATGTTCGAAAAATACAAGCGAGGGGTTGCTGCATGCATTTATTTCTAGTTAAAGTCTGAAAAGAGCGAAAAGTGCGCTATCTTGTTTGTTGTTGTGTTGTCGGCGGTCCCTTCTTTCTCTCTAGGAACTGCTAATTAACCAACAACACAGCGGATACTTTTTATAGTAATTAACCAAATTACTATTTATAACTATATATTAGCATATTATACTATATATTTTTTATAGTAATTAACCAAATTACAATGTACGGACGTGTATTTTGTGCTCCGTTACTCCAACTTAAATGAATGTTACAAATCACAAGTATTTAAAAACTCACTGCATATTTAACTGCTAGAGTTCTTGTGAGTTGTGTTCCGGCGGGTTGGAGCCTTAAATTGCTGGAGAACAGAACAGCAGGACTGTATGTGAGTATTTGTATGTATATTGCGATTTGAGGGCAAACATGTCGGCAAATCTAAGATTGTCTTGGATTGGTGATCATGAAAGCTTGAAAGAATTCGTAAGGGACAATCTTATCCTACAGGGAACGTGGTCATCGCCAGCCGGTGAAAAGAAACTTTTTGAGTCGGAGGGTCTTACGATTCTCTGGTTAAAAAACAAGAAGTTCCTTGCAGTTAATGGAAAGGACGCGAAAGAAATTCGTAGTCGACTGATCAAAGCTATGTGTACGAGCAGTGACTTTGCAGGCGTGAATACTAGCGTAGACAGGGCTACAAACACTGAGAATTTTGTTCATGATAATATATCTATAAACCACGGCGAAGTCATGCTTCATGACCTTCCTCCTTCAGCGGGACAAGTGCAGTCAATTAAGTGTTCAAATTGATAGCACAGTGCACATGGAAACCTTTAAAACTGAACAGGTGATAAACAGCGAGACTGTTCGCTCGTTGGCTGAATCCGTTGAGCGGCTTGCCTCAATAGTACCTGAAATTCAAACAAATGTAAAATCTGAGGCGCAGGATCCATGTGGTAAGTGCAAAAATGATTTTTTGCATGGAAAACATGTCAGTATAAAGTACTCACAAACACATACTAGCTCTTATAATACCATTGTTTTAGAACAATCAGAGGAACTAAGTGATAACAAAAGTGAATATACAGTATATCTAATTCAGATGCAAATGATTTAGAAATAAATAACGATAATAACCATAAGGCCAAAATATATGAGTTAGTTAATGACATAGAACATAATAACACAAAACCAACCTATGCAGCTCTTGTGAAATCGCAGTTAGTTAAAGAGAGCTTGTCTAAATCTGTATTAGAATCATCCTTAGAACCAACTCTAGAATCCTTAGCATCTGTTAACAACAAACAATAACAATAACAATGGAAACGGTAAACAATCGCCGCAATTAGATATGATTAACGATGATGGTTTTATTGATGTTGAGAGGAAACGGAAAAGAAATAAAAAATTTTCTTATCAGGCATTGCTAATGGCGTAAAGGAGAATCATATATACACATACCTTACTAAAAGGAACATAGTTCCCAGCTGCATTTTAACCTTCCAAAGTAGGAGAAAAGGTACAATGTCTGCAAAAATAAGTATCCCTTCAACATTTGCTAAATCCGTATTAGAAGAGAATTTCTGGCCTAAATTTGTCCGTTGTAAACTATGGCAGCAAAAAGAGCATGTTCCAAAATCAGGCTCGCACACTAGAAATGAAAATGCTAAGACCCAAAGCTGTAAGGGATTCCATTCAACTCTTGTATAATGGCTAGTCAAATACCAGTACGAATATCAGCTAGAAAATGTTTAGTAAAAAAATCTAAACCACGCCATGCCTGCAGAAACCTAATTAAAGTTAAAATTATCGGAGGTAGTGAAACCAGCAAACCTAGACAAATTCCTAAATGTTTAGTGCTGAATGCTAGATCGCTAGTTAAGCCTGATGCTTATCCTGCACTATATGCTGAACTTAATAGCAACAACATTGATCTCTGTTTTATATCTGAAACGTGGCTTCATTCAGCTATACCAAGTTCACTGATTTGCCCTCCTGGTTACGGTATTGCCAGGAAAGATCGAGAAAATACACGTGGAGGTGGTGTAGCGATACTTTGTAGGAATGATTGGAGAATGGAAAACATACTAGAAGTAGAAAATATGTTCGAATGCATCTGGATGAGAATAATAACTAAAAACTCTGTGTTTAGTGTTGCAGCAATTTATCATCCCCCAGGCGATTATAGCTATGACGCCAAAGAACTGATAGACTATTTGATTGATTCTTGTGAGCAAATTTTATTGCGTGATCCAAATATGAATATTATTATTGCTGGAGACATAAATAAACTAAATATCCATGATCTACTTAGCCAGCAAACCCTTATTCAAATGGTCAAAACACCTACGAGATGCAACAATATTTTAGATGTTTTTATAACTAACGTTCCGCATTATTGGAAAAAAGTACAAGTAAGAAAAGGTCTATTAAGATCAGACCATAACATTATTATAACATCTCAGAAAGATACTATAAAAGCAGAAAGAACAAATTTATTCTTCAGAGACGTGCGGAACCATAGAAAACAAAGAATGTTTAATGATTTAGACTCTGTCGACTGGTCTAAAATAATAAACGATGAGCTTTCCTCTGATGAGATGGCTACTCAATTTTACGAAACTCTATGGCCTAAATTTGAAACTTGTTTTCCACTAATAAAAGTTCGATCATCATCGCGTGACCCACCGTTCATGTCTCCGCTTGTTAAACATTTGTTAAAAAAGAGAAAGCAAGCAATGAAAAGCAATGATGAAGAGACAATTACTCGTTTACAGAATCAAATTAATCGTCTTATCCACTCTAACCAGGTTAATGCTGTTAAAAATGAGAAAAATGGATCTAAGAATTGGTGGAGTAAAGTTAACAGCATGACTGGAAGAAAAGGAAACACTTTAACAGTTAGTTCTATAATAGAGC